TTCAATCGATAAATAAATCGTAATTGAATGTTCGATTCAAATTTCGTAAAGTCCTGCGCACTGGATAATAATCGAATTTTCGAGTGATCATTCGATTATTTTAAACGATTATTTCGATTCATTCGATTAGTGAAATATATCGATTATGCCCAACACTAGATTAAATGTCAAAGTTGTCATTTATGTCGGTATAATCGTGTCCTTTTGATGTGGCAAAAGTTAATGCCTCTAAATACCGTAAGAGGGACCCATTCGATAACGCGCGTCATGGCCAACTGGTACGGAAAGAAATTATTCCACCTACCGGAACGTGAATGAATGAAAGATACTCAACCTATCTATTCTACAGCCGTGCTTTACACTATCTGACGACTGAATGACATTGACGTCTGAAATTTTTTGGCGGCAACTGTAGATACAGATATATAGTCTTTGCTATTTCTATTGAAACACCACTTGTTAATAGTAAATTTGGCAACGTTCATATTCAGAAAAATCTTTTCTTTTTTCCTGCAAATAGGCCATCGCTTCGCTGTTTGATGTGTCGCAAATTATGCAATATTTATTACGTACGCTTAAAAAGAATATTTTTTTGTTTTTATTCCCATACTACAGTGTCCAAATTGTGTTTGAGTATATCTAATAATAATTACCTCCAGCATTAAAATTAATATTTCAAAAGAATACGGGAAATAATTATTCTGTGCTGAAGGTCTGTTGTCGCCAACCTGTCATAAATTATTATTCTTCAATATCGGCTTACGATGTTTTTATGTTTACTATGTCCGGTAATCGTTTATCCCGATGCGGCAGATATATACATTTTAGGAAGAATTGCTGGTTCCGTTTAAGGCAAAATAAATACAATTTCTTAGAAAGGTATTTAAACCCCTTATAGGATCAAAGGCTGCCTGGCAGGCCGGAATTACCAGAGTGCAACTTTAAATTTTCAGATTTTTGTTGAAACTCATTGTATTTTAATTTCGTTTCACAATTTCTGAGAATATATCACGATAAATTATTCTACGGAGGGTTGTAAAAATATTAATTTTATTGCCCAAGATTTACACTTACACATAATCGGCACATTCTTGGGCAAAACGGACCTGCCAAGCCCGCCTTGCGTTAGGTCCAACAATGAAAAAGTGAAGAAATGACACATGTGGCAACAGGAAAAGATGCTACATTTGTCTGAAAAATAAAGGTATAAAACAGTAACAAATATGCAATTTATGCGAGAGAAATGTATGTATTGAACATTAGATTAGTCGATTACAGAACTAATATATGCTAATTGAAAAAATTAATCATTATGTAACACGCAATTATTATTTTCTAAAAATAATAACATACCTTAAACAAATATTTTTACTACTAAAATTACTCTTATTTAATAACACAAATACAACCAGCGGGCCTACCGGACCCGGATTGCTCAGGTACACAAATAAAATGCATTGCCCCGATAAGTGTAAAACGCAGTGAATAGTGAATTGTGGTTTATGGTTTTTAAAATACGATCTTACCATGGCTTAGATTTATTACCCCTCAGGATTTTTTAAAGATTTATAAGTACTGAAAGTTACAATGTAGGAAATGATGGTATTTAAAATATGAACATTTCCGTGACAGAACACGGAAATGTGACCTCTTATCTCTATTTTTGTTTATGTGACCAAAATCACCAACATGAAGTATCAAAAATTATTACTAGTGTAACTCAACTAATAACTACTGAAAAAAAAGTGAAAAAAAGAAATGTGGTGTCGTGGGACACCAGGTAGGAACGAAGTTCCTTCGGCTAATGTAGAATCGACACAATTTGCAAAAAAAAACGTGCTCAATTTTATGTAGGTTTTCTTGATTTTTCTCTTAAATTTTGCTGATTAGTTTTTATTTAAGTACAGGAAAATATTTAGGAAATTCAGTATTTTAGGAAATAATAAATTACGTAAAATAGGTAGAATTATCAAAATATATATATATTTAAATGTTTGGAATTGAAGGGAGAATTTGTTTTAATTATTTAAAAAAATAATCAATAAACTTTTTAAATATTGTCACTAGTTTAAAGGATATCTTTGCTTTATATCGTACCTTTCTTGCTTATTTTAATTTTTTTAGCTTTTTCGCGTTCCCTATACGCTTTTTGATACTCTGCTTTGCCATTGTTACTATATTTATTATTGTTTTGACGATTTGAAATTATATGAAAATAAACATGGCTACTCACGAGTAAAATGTATCTATAATGTGCGTATTCGCCACGTGCTTGTCCATGAATTAATGAGTATATACTATGCATTGGCGGGGTGGAGTGATAATAGAGAGAGAAGGAATGAGAGTTTAGGACATTTTTTATATTTTGTCGGTGCGGTCTCCACGTGTTCGCGGTGTCTTTGTAAGTAAGGCAGCTGCACGTGTGTGGACCTTCAACCTTGTCTGGCGGCACAATAACACGTCGGTAAGCAGAGAATAAATAAGTCGTTTCGTGGTGTTGTGGTCAGCATACCTGCCCTGAGAGCAAAGGGACGTGGGTTCGAATCCCACCGAGGCACAACATTTTTTCTCTGCTTACCTACACTTGTAAGGCGGCCGCCGTCTGAAGTAGGGGTGGGGAGTATTTGACGGAACAGGTATTTCGGAACTGTTACCAACGTGGAACAGGAACAAGTTGTTACCGAAGATTCGAAATAACAGTTATTCGGGATAAATCTGTTCCTTTAAAATATAAGTCCGCAAAACTGGTTTTATAAGTGAAACTAGCGATTTGCGATGATAAACTAAATATATAATATAATAATACAATAAATAATAATGCATATAAGCAGAAAGGTAAAAAATAGAGAATTATTTGGAATAAAGAATTTTATTTAATAAAGGCACTGTTGTATTTGGATGCAGTGATACAAAATATTCAAGATTTAATATATTTTTTTATTTAGTTTTTCTTCCAATGAAATAGTAAACTAAGAAATTAGATAACAGCAACGAGAAACAACATATAGGAACGTCAATTTTCTCTTACTGGCTACGTTGGTTATAAATAAAAATTATTAAATCTTTATATTAAATAAAAAAAATCTTAAGTAACAATTTCAGATTCCGAAGGCAAAATCCAAAGACCAAAATCGTAACGTAACGATAACGAGTACGTAAAGAACAAATAACAGTTTTATATGTAGCAGAGCCGCATAGTAGGTATACGGGCTGAAAGTGTTCTTCCTAGGAAACGCAATAACAAATTGTTCCAGAATCACTGTTATTTGGAACTGTTCCTAAAATGGAACAGTAACAAATTGTTCCTGTTCCTCAAAAAAGTAACAGTTCCCCATCCCTAGTCTGAAGTGCGGCTCGCACCACCTCTGGTCGCGCCTGCGCACGTCGCATTTAACGGTTTTATTCCACGGAATTTTTTGCACGGAGTTTTTCTTACGGTTTTAGGATCACATTTGTTTCAGTTCGGTCGCGTAGCAAAATCCCTATCTCCTCCAAGCCTGCCGTAAGGAACTTCGTTCCAATAAAAAAATGTATCTGTATCTGCGCCATTAATTTTGTATCTAGATACAGATATTTTGTGCTTAAATTTGATTTTATCTAGATACAGATACTAGATACCCAAAAATGTATCTAGATACTTTATTTAGAGACAAGTATCTAGATACTGCCCAACACTGTCTACATGACGCTATTATCCTTTCACGTAAGTGGTTTTCATTTTCGATTGGGACACTATAAACGTCATTTTTCACCTTCCCCCAAAGAAAAAAATCTAATGGCGTTAGATCAAGCCAAGCGTACTCTTCTTCTCTAGCAATAAGTCTTGGTCCAAACCCTCGGTGTAAATAGTTCCTAACGTCTCTCTGATAATGATCCTTCGTATGTCTAGCTCCACGTTTTCCAACAGTTTAGGTAAAATATTCTTTAAAAAATTTAGATACATAGGTCCGTTTAAATTTCCTTCAAAAAAATATGGACTAATGACGTGGTTACCAACAATTCCACACCAAGCATTAACTTTGAAAACTTCTTGGAAGTGCTTTTCCTGATACCAATGGGGATTTTGCTGGGCATAGTATTGTGAGTCGTGTCTGTTTACACACCCATTATTGGTAAATATGGCTTCGTCCGTAAACAAAACGTTAAATAAAAAAACTTGATTGTCTCGTAATTGAGCCCTCACGAATTCGCAAAACACTAACCGTCAGATAAAATCGCGTTCTGTTAAATGTTGGACAATTGTCACATGGTATGGATGAAATCGGTTTCCCTTTGAGATGTTGAAAACCGAACCCAAACTAATCTCCATTTCTCTTGCAATATGTCTTTGACTCACGTGGAGATTTTCTGCTACAATTTCAATTAGAACAGCTTTATTCTCTGACACTGTTACAGTTCGACCTCAAACTTTATTGTTTTTTAATTGCCCAAATTCTCGTACTTTTTTTTCAAATTTTCTAAACGCTTGATTTGAGGAAGTTCTTCTATTAGGATATTGCCTGGCGTAGAGACGAACAGCAGCATCAAAATTTTTGTCACACTTTCCCAATATTAATAGCATGTTTTTTCAGAATTCGAAAACATTTTAAAGCAAACGAAAATTGAAAATATTTGGCAGACACAAATAATTTGTCCTAATTTTGGTTCTGATCATTGCTATCTATGCGTTCATTATTATTTAAAAATAAAAATTCATCTAAGCTGTTTATAAAACGCAAAATGGGTTGCCTATGCAGAAATATTCAGGCGTGAACAGATAAAATGAACAAAATATTTCACACTAATAAGGAAGATAAAATAATCCTAATATTTATAATAATTTTTATATGTAGCGGCAAATATTAAAAAAAATCATAGAATGTTGAATTACTTACTAAAATGTTCAAGTTCATGTCGAACACTTTTCGAAAGAAGGCGATTACAAGAGTGCTCCGTCTAGTAATACAAGGTCTAAGAATGTGACAATTTCTAGGTTTCTGGTTTGTCGTTTTGAAGTTTGAGGTTATGTTGCCGTGGTTTCAATTTGCGGTTCTTTTAGTTGCACGTGCATGGAGAAATTTTTAATTCTTTCTGGTTTTGACACTGCTCCAACGACCTTTGGGTAAGAAAAATACAGTTTACTTCCATAGTGTGATAAAACAATTTTAGACAACTAACAAGATGTCAATTTTGGAATATTCCGAAGCACCCCCAAAACAGGGAAGGTCTTCATGGAAAAACGTCCACAACTGTAAACTATGCTCCTACTTTACATCATCGTTTTTTCTCATGACCAACCACGTGAAGCGGCACCGTACATCTCCGGAAAAATTTACGTGCGAAAACGCCGAACTCGAATTGTATTACTGTAAAGACTGCGACTTTAAAACAGAACTAACGCCTCTGTTCAAACAACACGTTAATAAACATCACGGCCTTCAGACAGAATCTAGAAAACATTCATCAAATGTGGACTTCCGCATACACACCTACGTTTGCAAAAAGTGCAACTTTGAAACAAATTTCTCATTCAAGTGGCTTCAACATACTTCAGCATGCACGAAAACGAAAGAAAATCTTCAGAGTGTGAGGTCTCCAAAACAGAAGTTCACATATTGTTTCCATTTCGACCAAACTGACGGAACACGTTGGTATTACTGTAAAAAATGTGCCTACAAAACCAAAGTCAAACGTTATTTAAAACGTCATGTAATAAATCACACTTTGAACAAGCGATATGCTTGCGACAAGTGTCCATTTAAAACTAAACATAAAGGAGATTTAAAAAAGCACATAAATGTCCTCCATTTAAATGAACAAGAAGTTGAATGGCACAAGTGCCAAAAATGTTCATTCCAAACCAGAACAAAAGCTAATATAAAAAGACACATAAACAATGTACACTTAAACGGAGAGGACGTTAAATGGTTCAGATGTGATGAGTGCTCTTTCAAAAGTAAGTACGAAAAATCTTTAAGGATACACGTAACCGCAAAACATCTAGAGGAAGAAAAAATTAAGTGGTATAAGTGTGAAAAATGCCCATATAAAAGTAAACAACCATCGAATTTAAAAAGTCATATAAACTGTCGACATTTGGATGAAGCGGAAGTTAAGTGGTACGAATGTAAAGACTGTCCATACAAAAGTAAAACAAGAACTCAGTTAAATATGCATGTAAATGTCCATTTGGAAATTAGGTCATATCAATGTGGTTATTGTCCATATAAGGCGAAAAACAAGTGTCATTTAAGGCGTCATGTAAATAACCTCCATTTGGATGGAACTGAAGCTAAATGGTACAAATGCAAACGTTGTCCTTACAACAGTAAAAGTGAAGCGTCTTTCTATAGACACAAAAAAAAACACGTTGGGATTTAGTTGATCATAAGCCGAATATGTTAGTACTAAGTTGAATTTATATACATATATTTTTTGTTGACCTATAAATAGTTTTCATTAAAATTAAAAAAAAAAAACAGCTTGATTTGATTTATTCACGGAAAAACAAGTCCTTTACAACGATATATGAGACAAAGTTAACTACACAAGTACGCATTAAATTGTAACCGAACAGAACATTATTGACTGGAAAATCCAATGCATGTTTAGTTGAATAAAAATTTAAATAGAATAAAGAGACTGAACTGACTGGATATTGCGCATATGTTGTTCAACATTTTAAGCATCCACGTCTAGTCTCCAATAAACAGTGTTGGACAGTATCTAGATACTTGTATCTATATAAAGTATCTAGATACATTTTTGTGTATCTAGTATCTGTATCTAGATAAAATCGAATTTAAGCACAAAATATCTGTATCTAGATACAAAATTAATGTTGCAGATACAGATGCATTTTTTTATTTCACTTTTTGACGTGACAACGTCTTATAATTCGATTGAGCCGGCTGCACGCACGAAAAAACATGACTCATGCGGCGTTACCTCGCTCTGAGGCGTTCCATGTAAGGCTTGAAGTGCAAGCGAGAACGCGGAACGAGCGACAAAGAGGCACAATCGGCCTTCGCGTTCGGCAGCGTTCGCCATCCGTCTCTCTCCTTCTTCCGTATGTTTATAACAGCCACTATGTACATTCCATCATGGAAGTTGATACCGATATACCAATTCTTCTTTGTGGCGACTTCAACACAAATGTGAAAAATTACGAAACATTCATCAAATTCATGAAAGACATGTTTAATGTCGATTGTGCATCAGACGTTAATAACTCAACAACACTAGGAGGCACCACCATCGATTTGACTTTTTCAAGACACATTAAACTCGAAACACTCCCTTTCATTTCCTACTTTTCCTATCATCGTCCTATTCTCAACAGAATAACACAGATTGTAAGAAATTAAATATTACACATGTTTAACAGTTATAAAACAATTGCTCAACGCACATTTATACTTGTAAAAACTATTAAATTGTAAAAAAAAATTGACATAATTGTATTTATGCGTATAAATAAATCTAACTTGATCAATTTCATTGTGATTTCTAATTACCTCCTTCTCTATATACATACAAATCTATTAAACAAATGAAATTAAAATTTTCTTTTGAAAAATGCTACCATTCCATCAGTATTTTCTTAAGACGTTGTCACGTTCAACTATCGTCAGTAAACCGACTTTACAGACAACCGATTTTTTTTTCAGTAGTTATTAGTTGAGTTATACTAGTAGTAATTGTTGATACTTTATGTTGTTATTTTGGTTACATAAACAAAAATAGAGGTAAGAGGTCCACTAATAGTGTTCTGTCACGGAAATTTTCATATTTTAAATACCATCATTTCCTACATTGTAGCGTTCAGTTCAGTCCGTTCAGTACTTATACATCTTTAAATAGAATCCTGAGGGGTAATAAATCTAAGCCATGGTAAGATGGTATTTTAAAGACCATAAACCACAATTCACTATTCGCTGCGTTTTATCGGGGTAATGCATTTTATCTGTGTACCTGAGCAACCCGGGTCCGGTAGACCCGCTGGTTGTATTTGTGTTATTAAATAAGAGTAATTTTAATAGTAAAAATATTTGTTTAAGGTATGTTATTATTTTTAGAAAATAATAATTGCGTGTTACATAATGATTAATTTTTTCAATTAGCACAAATTAGTTCTGTAATCGACTAATCGAATGTTCAATACATACATTTCTCTCGCATAAATCGCACATTTGTTACTGTTTTATACCTTTATGTTTCAGCCAAATGTAGCATCTTTTCCTGTTGCCACATGTGTCATTTCTTCACTTTTTCATAGTTGGACCTAACGTGAGGCGGGATTGGCAGGTCCGTTTTGCCCTAGAATGTGCCGATTATGTTTAAGTGTAAATCTTGGGCAATAAAATTGATATTTTTACAACCGTCGGTAGAATAATTTATCGTGATATATTCTCAGAAATCATGAAACGAGATTAAAATAAAATGAGTTTCAACAAAAATCTGAAAATTTAAAGTTGAGCTCTGGTGATTCCGGCCTGCCAGGCAGCCTTTGATCCTATAAGGGGTTTAAATACCTTTCTAAGAAATTGTACTTATTTTGCCTTAAACGGAACCAGTAATTCTTCCTAAAATGTATATACCTGCCGCACCGGGATAGACGAGTACCGGACATGGTCATAAAAACATCGTAACCCCAGTAACATTTTATATGTAATAAATATTGAAGTTCTAACATTTAAATAATATGGGTAACGACAGATTTTTTTTAGAAAATCAATATTGGTTTTAAATATTGAATATATATTTATTTTCAATGTTTAATACTTAATTAGTTCAGAACATTTAATAAATGTTCTTCATATGAAAGGGGGTATGGATATAAAAAAAACTTGTATGGAATACAATATAAAATTTATTAATCACAAAAGTACATTGTCACTGGAAATAAGAGTGTATTTGAAACGTTGCGGCAATATTTATACATTTAAACATTATTTGTCCTAGAACCAATTCGTTGAAAATTTGTACCAGGTGATTTTTTTTTAATTTCTGCTGTAGTTACCCATGACACTTATGTTAGCAGTGAAACTGAAACTGCTGGCATAAGCTTCATGGGCAACCAGAGCATAAATTTAAAAAATCACCTGATGTGAAACACAATATAAATTTTTTAAACATAAAAATACACTGCCAACTTACAATGAAATAAAAATACATTGTCAATGGAATTAACAATGTTCTGCTACATTTCAATCGTTATACAGAAATATTTATTTAATAATTATTTGCTCTATAACCAATTCATTGAAAAGCGATATAATTAATTAAAATAAAAAAAATCATACCTCATGTTTTTTTCGATCAGAATTCATTCTTGCTTTTGTCTGCGCTTAATGAGGTCCTACCATTTTTTAAATTTCAGTAGTTGTGGCCTTTTTGGTGACGTTTCCGTGTGGTACCTACAATTAAATTAACTTACAAAGTTAACTTTTTAAGAAATCACATAACTTTACATATTGTAGCCTTGTTAATTGTGAGTTCACTAAAAGAGGGCTTATTTTTTTCCTTGCCCTGAAAACTTGAAAGCAATTTGGTTCATTATTAATAATTTCTTCAAAATTGCATACATGTTTTTTTACGTCTTCTCTTCCTGACAAATAAACATTATTATCAGTCTGAAACTAGTTTATAAATACTAGGAGTTAATAATAATAATAATAAATGTTTACCAATTCATCTAATTTCTGTGTATCTCCCCCAATTTCTAACTCGATTTCTTCTTTTTTTTTTGGTTGTGTCCGGACATTCATCATTTTGTCTCTACATTCATAATATACTTATATTCAGGAATATTAAAACTCTTAAATGTACTTACGTGTTGAGAAATTGCATTTTCTGCATTGCATGTAGAAGTGAGGTTATGTAGGTTTAGTACTGTTTTCTTGAAAAACGGTATTTACTACACTATTCTGAATTTATCGCAGTACCGATAATCACAATTCACAATAGGACAAACACCATGAACTTACACAAAATACTTTTTGAACCACAACAATAACAGAAAATACCACGCCGTTTTGCTTGCTATCGGTAGATTTCTTGGATAATTTTCGGTAAATTTCGGCATTTTTTCGGTAGATCGGTTTTTTGTGATAGAAAAGGTATTACACATAAATAATACGTTTTTTTTTTTATCATATATGAAGAAGGTAGAAATATTTTGTTATTAAAAAGAAACAAATAAAAAACAAATATTAACATAGATCATTTAAAAAAATATATCTATAAGTAAACATGCTAAAGGTAGTAGGAACATTTTGTTAAAAATAAAAACACAATAAAACTATAATATTCCCCTTAATTATTGCCTCAGGTGCTGAACTGTTTCGGGGATATACTGAATTTTGTCTAACTAATTAAAAAAAAAATCCCCTTTTAATTATAACGCGCTTAAAAAGAATAGATATTTGGTGCTATCTGTAAAAATGTATAGTGGTTACGCTGGTGCGTAATAGAGGGAACTAAACAAATCCGCAGAACTAAATTTATACTGAAAAAAATATTAAGAAATAAAATTATATAAAAAAAATTATTGAAAATTTATAAATACATTAAAAATAAATTCTTGAATTATCGTAGATTTTTCGGTAGATTTTGTGTTTCAATCGGTAGATCGGTAGACAGAGCCCAAAATCGGTAGATCTACCGAAAATTCGGTAGAAGTGGCAACACTGGTTCCAGCAGAGCAAGCGCATCTGTAGGTGAAACGCAAATTTAAGTAAGTTTTATAAAAATGATGAATAAAATTGTTATTTTTGGTTCGCAAAAATAAAAAAAATATTACTTTTTAATGAGCAATTAATAGTGCACAAAGCGAGATTTCGAATAGTGTTAATTTCACAATAGCTGGTATTTTTTCAAATCAATTTTTAATACAGCTCCAATAAAAACCCTATGAAATAAATTACCTACAAGTTGTCCCAACATAGTACTTTTTTTTTTCATTTTTGTTGTTCGGTATCTTGATAAAAAGACATTTCATAAATATGTAATATATGTTGAAATTCATATATAAATTTATAAATATAAAATGAATATTATATAAATATTTGTAATATCTAGTCAACATTTAATATTATATCAATCTTGAATAAATATTAGAAAAATATTGCTTGCTACTGGGGAAGCCGATATTGAAGAATAATAATTTATGACAGGTTGCCGACAACATACTTTCACCAGAGAATACCTAATCATTTCCCGTATTCTTTTGAAATATTAATTTTAATGCTGGATATAATTATTAGATGTACTCAAACACAATTTGGACACTGTAGTATGGGAATAAAAACAAAAAAATATTCTTTTTAAGAAAAGATTTTTCAGTCTTGAATAACTATGCTACAGTAAAATGTTTATTTTTTAAATTTAATACCACAATCCCTTCTTCTGCACCTGTGGAACGGGTGTTTAGTAGCGGAAACCAAATTCTGACACCAAGAAGAAATAATTTAGGTGACAATACGTTCAAAATGTTGTTAATTTTAAAAAATTCATTAAACAATACATAAAAAATACATAAACATGTTTTCAGTTATTTTATTCGCTATGTTTTCTTGCATCTGTATCTAGATACATTTCGAAAAAATCGAAAACAATCTGTATCTAGATACTTTTAAAAGTATTTGTCCCCAACATTGATTACAACTATGTATAACTTGAGTTATGTATCAGTTACTTTAATTCAGACGTCTCTTTCCCTTGTGTTTTTAAAATTGTGATATTAAAATATTTATTGTGTTTAGTAACATTTGACTTCACTGTTAAAAGGCGGGAGAGGATTTTTCAACTGCGCAATCCGATGACCGTTCAAGGTTTAAATTTTTCGCTTGAGTTATCATAGTAACGTAAAAAATACACCATAAATTTTTTTTAATCAAATGTTTAATTAATGAAAAAGTAGTCACAACATGTAACATGTTACAGAGTGCTGACATAAATATTTAAAAAAGTATACATCCACCTTAATACTAGAATAACCTTACGGTCAAATAAATCTTGTTTTTTTTTGTGTCTATAAAAACATGATATAGTTTTAACTTTGAAAGGACAGTGCCCGCAGTTGTACCGTTTGGCTCCAGTTACATCCAAATGGGGGTAATTTACATTACCCTGTAAGTGACATTTATCTTTTGACTTGTATGGACCTTTGCATGCAATTTTAATTTAGCTCTTGTTTTAGTTTTGTACGAGCATTCTCTTCACATTCGTAATATTCGTTCAAATGTTTAATTTTTATGTGAGTTTTTAAACTCGATACTTGTTTACATTCGTACCACTTAATTTGTTCATCATCTAGATGTTTTGCAATTACGTGTGTCTTTAGTGAAGATTTATACTTAGTTCTGTAAGGACACTCATTGCAATTGTACCACTTAACGTCTTCGTCTTTCAAGTATTTGTCCTTTGTGTGCCTATTTAAATAAGTTCTGTTTTTCGCCTTGAATGGGTATTTATCGCACTTGTACCATTCAACGTGTTCTTCAGCTAAGTGCTTTTGGTTTAGGTGGACTCTGAAAGTCGATTTCCATCTACACTTAAATGGACACTTTTCACATGCATAGCGCTTTGATAAATGGCAATCTGCTACATGATGTAGTGCATTATTTTTGCATTTACCCTGGTAGGTACATTCAGCGCAATTATGCCAACGTATTTTATTGATTTGCTTGAAATCGGAATTAAATGTGCCGCTCTCGTTTGGAAAACTCACACTTTGAAGATTTTGCTTCTTTCTTGTACATTCTGAACTATGCTGAATCTTTTTTAATGAGAGATTTGTTTCAAAGTTGCATTTATTGCAAACGTAGGTTCGTATACGAAAATCGTTACTTGATGAACCTTTTCTAGATTCTTTGTTAATTCCGTGATGTTTATTAATGTGCTTTTTGAACTGAAGCGTTAATTTTGTTTTAAATTTGCAATCTTTACAAAAATAGGCTTCAATTTTGGCTTTTTCACACATGAATTTTTCCAGAGATGAACGGTGTCGTCTCACGTGGTTCAACATAAGGAAAAATGATGTTGAAAAGTAGGGGCATAGTTTACAGTTGTGCACGTTCTTCCAGGATGCTCTTCCTTGTGCTGCGAGTGCTCCCGAATATTCCAAAATTGACATTTTAGTTACCTAAAATCGTTTTATCACACTATGAAAAAATACTGGTCCTTTTTTACTCAAAGCTCGTTGGAACAGAGTTAAAACTGGAAAGGGTTAAAGATTTCTTCACACTTGAGTAACTTTGGCCCAGATAACCTCACAGTCGCAAATTAAAACTGCCTGTGCAACGTAACGTCAAAATTCGTGCAAATCAAATACAACAGCGTGAAATTGAAAACTGTAGGTTATTTATTGTACAAGCCGTATATTTGGTCGCACGGACGATGGAAGTACGTCAGTTCCACACGTTAGTTCGATAAACGGATCAAGCCTAGCCCAAGCAGAGCTCCTGCTTAACGAGAAAGTGAGGTTATGTTATGATATAGCATCCTAAGAAAATTACAGAATTAGTTGTTTAATCGTTTAATTTTACGAACCTACATTCATTTACGAAATTACAGTCTGAGGTTACATCATGGGTGAGCCTATACAGAATTGACAGTTTGATAACTACATACCATCTGTTAAAAAATTACATATTAAATAAAAATTGTACAGTATAAATAAAAGTTACATTGTAGTTTGATAAAAGATCAATTCACACTGCATTAAAACAACCATAAAATACAATCAATATAAAGTTTGTATAAAAAATACTACCGGATTAGGGGAAGCACAGAAACAATTCCTCTTAAAAAAATCCCTAATTTGCACACGTTCATTTGGCCTATCGTTTCAGTACATCATAAATGTTACAGCCGACAATCTGGAATGTTTCATAACAATTAATTAATCCATCAATCACGATATACAAATAACATGAGATTCGCTCCGTACAACTAAGACAATCACAGAATCATAACAAAAACTAACACTATCAAATGTTAGAATTATGAATTTTTTGTTGTACCATGTCTAGTAGAATATCCGAGTATTGCTCCATCATGCTGACCACCGAATTCGGGCCGCTGGGTCCCTTTGACACCAAATCGTTCAACTTCTTCACCGTGTCCGTCTGGTTGACGTCCACGTTGCCGTTGCTCTGTTTCAGCTTCTTGAAGATACAATCATGCAGGATTTTGTGGGTGTTCAAGATGGACATCTCCAGGTTCTTCACCATGTCCATCTTGGCGACGGTCGTGTCGTGAGTGTCGGTTTCCGTCTCGTTGAGCCGGTTATACAGTTCCACTACCTTATCGGCAGCTTTGGTCAGCTGCTGGATCACGTCGTCGCACAGCTGGTGGGAAACTAAAATCGAGGTTAATTCAGACAATTGACTACGACTCGGGTCAAAGCGCTTACTCTCGACGGTCGATAAGTCTATGTCGTCGTCGTTCGTGAGGGTGCTGTCCAAATCCACCTTGAGTTTTTCGAAATGGATGGTGTGGCGGGATGCTGGAAATCAAACTCCGATTAAGTACAATACATTATAAACCGCCGATATCAGGTACCTTTAGGCTTTTCTTTGTTATTCAGGTGCCTCCTCGGCATCACCGTCGGAGGCCCGTTCTCGTACGTCCGACTCCTCGGCGGTACGGCCGGCTTCGCCGGCTGCACCTCGATCTCGTCGTCCGAAGTCGACACGTTGTCCACCCCCACGGTGTTCAAGTTGCTCGTCGAATACGACTGTTTCTTCCTACTCTGCAGCGTCTTGTTGTTGATCTTGTTGTGCGAACTGATCGTCGGCCGCATCAACCTGGACATTTTCTTGTCGGCTTCGTTCTCCGAGTCCGACTGATTCAGGACCCCGCTGGATCTGCTCCTGGTGATCATCGCGTTATTTTTCGAGTACCTGGCGCTGGTTCGACCACTCGCCGACGGTTTCTTCCCTGAAACTAGAAATTGGAATGGGTTAGGGGAAGGTTTTGGGTGTGTCGGGGTTAATGAAGCTAGGCGTGCTCATGCCAAAGTAGGTCTCACAGTTCGGGGCGATTTTACGGGGTGTGTCACATACAACGTTTAAGTTGGACACGATGTGGGAGTCGTGATGGGTAACTACGGGTTTAGTGAAGGAATTTTTGCTGCATTTTACTGTACAGACTGGGCGTGATGAACTTGCAAAAAATAATACTCATAAAAATTTTCAACTTGTAAAAATGGATTTGGGGGTCGTAAAAAATAAGCTTCATTTACATTGATGCGACAAGTATTTCATGAAAATAACTACTCGAAAGAAGTTTTTTTTAACGTTTTGCATTCTAGTGTGATTTATCAAGGAACAATTAATTTATTTTTCGCGTTACCGAGGCGGACGTGAGTGAAAGAAGTAGGCGAAAAGGAGAAAAAGATGAATTGGAAAAAGTGACTGATCCGTATTCAAGCGAGAACAGTACCTAAACCCAACCGAGACCGACCTCCGGGTTTCGTCGCAAGTTTCCATCGCATCTATATTAGCCTAAGTCGATATTATAGACACTTGGGGGCGACTATATTAAAATGTGAAAATTTTATTAAAGATGGTTTGTTTCCCTTAAGATCAAAAATTAAAAAATTTCATATATTATTCAAAGATTTTCAAATTCTATTTAATAATAGTAATGTCCACATGTTTTGCAATTTCACGTCGTAATTCTAAAGTCTAAATAATCTTCGACCAATTTTTATTTTTATTTAAGAAACTGAAACGTGGATAGTTAGGGTTAGTGCACAATGACAAGGTTTCTTTGCCAGTGAAATTTGTATAGTTGTAACGATATTTGAGCATTGCAAATTTACAAACACTTGGGGGCGACTGCCTGAAAACGGGAAAATTCCATGAAACGTTCTGCGATTTTCAAAATTTAGGCAATTAAAATCTTTAAGACCTCTGGATTTTTCAATTACAAAAAAAAAAATAGTCGAAAGGTATTTCGACGGAACTTTCCTCGCTTCTGTACAGTCCAACAAATACTGCTTCCCTGAAGGACCCCCGAGAAGGTTTTACATAAAAAAAGGCATTTGGCGTCCCCGAGAAGGTTTTACATTTTTAAATGACAGTTGGGACCCCGAGGTTTCACATTAAAAAAAACCATTTGGGGTCCCCGAGAAGGTTTCACATTCTTAAAAAAAAAACAGTTGGGACTCCCGAGAAGGTTCCACATTCTTAAAAAAACCAGTTGGGACCCCCGAGAAGGTTTTACATTCTTAAAAAAAGAGACCTTTGGGCCCTCCGTGAAGGTTTCACATTCTTAAAAAAACCAGTTGGGACCCCCGAGAAGGTTTTACATTCTTAAAAAAGATATTTGGGGCCTCCGGCCTCCGAGATGGTTTCACATTTTTAAAAAGACAGTTGGGACCTCCGAAGTTTCACACTCTTAAAAAAAGACATTTGGGGCCTACGAGGTTTTATATTTTTAAAAAAGACAGTTGGGAACATCCGACAAGATTTCACATTAAAAAAGATATTTGGCGTCCCCGAGAAAGTTGCACAATCTTTAAAAGAGAATAGTTGGGACCCCCGAGAAGGTTTCACATTCTTAAAAGGATATTTGGGGGCTCCGAGAAGGTTTTACATTCTTAAAAAAAGACATTTGGGACCCCCAAGGTTTAAACTCTTAAAAAAAGACATTTGGCGCCCCCGAGAAGGCTTAAAATTTTTAAAAAAGACAGTTGGGACCCCGAGAAGGTTTCACATTCTTAAAAAAACTGTTGGGACCCCTGAGAAGGTTTTACATTCTTAAAAAAATATTTGGGGCCTCCGAGAAGGTTTCACATTTTTAAAAAAAGACATTTGGGGCCTTCGAGAAGGTTTTATATTTTTAAAAAGACAGTTGGGAACCTCCGACAAGATTTCACATTAAAAAAGATATTTGGCGTCCCCGAGAAGGTTGCACAATCTTTAAAAGAGAATAGTTGGGACCCCCGAGAAGGTTTCACATTCTTAAAAGGATATTTGGGGGCTCCGAGAAGGTTTTACATTCTTAAAAAAAGACATTTGGGACCCCCAAGGTTTAAACTCTTAAAAAAAGACATTTGGCGCCCCCGAGAAGGCTTAAAATTTTTAAAAAAGACAGTTGGGACCTCGAGAAGGTTTCACATTCTTAAAAAAAGGAAATTGGGACTCCCGAGAAGGTTTCACATTCTTAAAAAGATATTTGGGGTCCACGAGGAGGTTCTACATTCTTAAGAAAAAGACATTTAGGGCCCTCGAGAAGGTTTTACATTAAAAAAAAGACATTTGGCGCCCCCGAGAAGGTTCACATTTTTAAGACAGACAGTTGGGACCCCCGAGAAGGTTTTACATAAAAAAAGGCATTTGGCGTCCCCGAGAAGGTTTTACATTTTGTAAATGATAGTTGGGACCCCGAGGTTTCGCATTAAAAAAAACTATTTGGGGCCCTCGAGGTTTCACATTCTTAAAAAACCAGTTGGGACCCCCGAGAAGGTTTTACATTGTTAAAAAAGAGACCTTTGGGCCCTCCGTGAAGGTTTCACATTCTTAAAAAAGACAGTTGGCACCCCCGAGAAGGTTTCACATTCTTAAAAAAGATATTTGGGGCCTCCGAGAAGGTTTCACATTTTTAAAAAAAGACAGTTGGGACCTCCGAAATTTCACACTCTTAAAAAAAGACATTTGGGGCCTACGAGAAGGTTTTATGTTTTTAAAAAAGACAGTTGGGAACCTCCGACAAGATTTCACATTAAGAAAGATATTTGGCGTCCCCGAGAAGGTTGCACAATCTTTAAAAGTGAATAGTTGGGACCCTCGAGAAGGTTTCACATTCTTAAAAAGACAGTTGCGAGCCCCGAGAAGGTGTCACATTCTTAAAAGAATATTTGGGGCTCCAAGAAGGTTTTACATTCTTAAAAAGACATTTGGGACCCCCAAGGTTTAATCTCTTAAAAAAGACATTAATTTGGCGCCCCCGAGAAGGCTTAAAATTTTTAAAAGACAGTTGAGACCCCGAGAAGATTTCACATTCTTAAAAAGACAGTTGGGAGCCCCGAGAAGGTGTCACATTCTTAAAAGGATATTTGGGGGCTCCGAGAAGGTTTTACATTCTTAAAAACAGACATTTGGGGCCTACGAGAAGGTTTTATATTTTTAAAAAAGACAGTTGGGAACCTCCGACAAGATTTCACATTAAGAAAGATATTTGGCGTCCCCGAGAAGGTTGCACAATCTTTAAAAGAGAATAATTGGGACCCTCGAGAAGGTTTCACATTCTTAAAAAGACAGTTGGGAGCCCCGAGATGGTGTCACATTCTTAAAAGGATATTTGGGGCCTCCGAGCAGGTTTCACATTTTTAAAAAAAGACATTTGGGGCCTACGAGAAGGTTTTATAATTTTTAAAAAGACAGTTGGGAACCCCCGACAAGATTTCACATTAAAAAAGATATTTGGCGTCCCCGAGAAGGTTGCACAATCTTTAAAAGAGAATAGTTGGGACCCCCGAGAAGGTTTCACATTCTTAAAAGGATATTTGGGGCCTCCGAGAAGGTTTCACATTTTTAAAAAAAGACATTTGGGGCCTACGAGAAGGTTTTATATTTTTAAAAAGACAGTTGGGAACCTCCGACAAGATTTCACATTAAAAAAAAATTTGGCGTCCCCGAGAAGGTTGCACAATCTTTAAAAGAGAATAGTTGGGACCCCCGAGAAGGTTTCACATTCTTAAAAGGATATTTGGGGGCTCCGAGAAGGTTTTACATTCTTAAAAAAAGACATTTGGGACCCCCAAGGTTTAAACTCTTAAAAAAAGACATTTGGCGTCCCCGAGAAGGCTTAAAATTTTTAAAAAAGACATTTGGACCCCTCGAGAAGGTTTCACATTAAAACAAACACATTTGGCGACCCCGAGGTTTTACATGTTTAAAAGAGAATTGGGACCCCCGAGAAGATTTCACATTAAAAAAAAAAGACATTGGCGCCCCCGAGAAGGGTTTACATTTAAAAAAAAAAGAAAATTGAGACCCCCAAAAAGGTTTCACATTCTTAAAAAAAGGATATTTGGGTCCCCCGAGACGGTTTCACATTCTTAAAAAAAGACAGTTGGGACCCCCGAGAAGGATTCACATTTTTAAAAAGACATTTGGGGCCCAGGGGAAGGTTTCATATTAAAAAAAAGACAGTTGGGACTCCCGCGAAGGTTTCACATTAAAAAAAAGACATTTGGGACCCCCGAGAAGGTTTCACATTCTGAAAAGAAAACAGTTGGGATCCCCGAGGTTTCACATTCTTAAAAAGACATTTGTGGCCCACGAGAAGGTTTCACATTAAGAAGAAAAAAAAAAAAAACCATTGGGCGCCCCTTTTTATTTTAAAATGTAAATTTTTTTCAAGAGAGTGGAGTCATTTCATCAATAAAAAAATTGTTATGACATCATAAACATAAATAATACACAGTGCGACAGAAAAAGAGAGGAAAAAAAAAAATGAAAGCCTAACTTTGGAATCGAACTCGCAACGTCCGGTCCACATTCCTGACTCGTAACCACTAGTTCCGCTAATGGTAAATTGTTATTATACTGTGCATTGTTTTTGCAAACATTTGGACGGTTAGTGAAAAACTCAAAGCGGATTCGTACACTACACTTGCGGGACTAGATTGTTTTATAACAGTTAAATCAAATAAACATAGAATTCTTTGAAGTGACGTCATCAAATTGTTGGTGGGGATAACTAGCAAAATTTTGGTTAGCATTTAACTATCTACATGATAGTTCCAATATACATACAAAATTTGACAACAATCGGTCCAGCAGTTTCGGAGATTACGTGTCTAATAAAAATGGACACAGACACCAGACAGACAGACAGTCAAGGGGGAAACGGGAGACTACGTTTTTCGTACTCTAGGGGCCATGAAACGTCGAGAAAATATAAAAGACCATTCGTTTGATGGACTCGATTACTATACTTCCTTAGGTTACGCTCGGGAAATGAAAAGAAGGTAAGTCGTTCTATTAAACAAGATTTTTTAACTTTTACAACTATAATATGATTTATATGTGTATGATACACGTAACGCGTGGAGAACAATGCTATAGACACTTGGGGGCGACTGTATCAAATAATAAAAATTCGATTAACTTTTTAGAAACTGCGAAATGCACACAGCTTTTCTTCAGGAAAACTTGAAAACGATTGAAACAAAACAAACATTTCCTTAAATGTGTGGTGTCCCGATTTAAAAATTAAAATTCGCGCTGAGAAAAAACAAAGCCGCGAATCCGCATTAGAAAAAATAAAAATAATTCCAATAACGCAGCCAGGCAATCACGCTTTTAGGAAACTAGCGAATTTCACCCTATAGGTTGGTAGTAGGGGTTTGGAATGTGTGAGTGTATGTATTTACTGTAGGATCAGATTAAAACAATTTGAAGATCAATACTGTCTGAATTTAAAAAATAAGGAAATTAATTTTTAATGTTCCGTCTCTGTTAAACGTATTTTTTTTTTAAAGATTGTAATAGAAGTTTTGTAGAAGCCCTGTAATGATATATCAAGTTCTGGATAATTTTACATTTTAAGTTATTTTTCACACTTCATGACTTCTCACTGGAATTTAAAGTAGTTTATTGATACCAGTTAAAATAACTGATTTTTTTTTTCAACTGGATCCAATGCATAATTTAAAATCATGTAAATTCTTTACTGTTTAAAATTCTTGAAAGTGTGGCGTAATCAAATGTTGCTTTCTTCCTTTGTGACAATTCTAAGACTCATTCAGTTATCGTTCTAAATTCTAGAGATTCCAGAGTTCGATTTTTTAATTGGAATAAATGCACAAGATCATGTGGCGGAAGCGAAACACATGGTTTCTAGTCAAAACTAACCGTTCTTTTCTTACGCCATTTGTTTTACTAGATGTTAAATTGCGACCTTGTTTTGCGAAGACGGCGTACAGTGTAAATATGCGGCAGGTTTTTTACGTATAGAGATGTGGTATGTCTGATATAACCGTCAACAGAGTACAATCATCGAGGAGAGGTAACGGACTACAACAAATAAATTCCTATGTAGTCACAACGTCCTCGCTAGCGCGGTTTTAGTTTCTCAGGTGTTAATAAACAGACATTTGGGGACGACTGTATCAAACAATGAAAATTCTACTAAAATAATGAGTTGGTTCCTTTGAAGTAAAGTTGCTGACAGTAGTAATGAAGTTTCAACAGACTTGGGGGCGATTGCTATATACACAAAAATCCACAAAAAAATAAATAATAACAAAAGAAAGCATGCGGTTACTGAATGGTTGATATTAAAATGACACAATCACACATGGCCCGAAACATTACACGAACGAAAAATATGTGCTCTATACATCTGATATTATTTTTTGCAAGTATTTCTAATCACCATTTAGCTCACTGCGCTCGCTCCACCGAAGTTACACATCAAGCTTCACAAATTTCGACACTCTAACTTTAACAAATTGTGAGACCCGTCTTACCTTGGTCGATCTTATTTTTGCCCGCCGTCGGCTTTTGCATGCTTAGATCGCTTAAGCTGCACGACCTACGCAAACTGCTATCCGGGCTGCTTTCGCCTACATAAACTGTGAACATGCAAAAAAAAAATCACCAACCAAACGCAAAACAGGTTAACGAAAAACTTAAAATAAAAAGCGTGTCATGCAAGGGACCACCGAACGATCAATCTCATTGCAGCTCGTTTATACAGAAGCGCTTTCCACATCCAACATGCCGCCATAATCACCTTCCGCTCCCTCGCTGTTAACATTTTTGACTTTACCATCGCTCAGCCGTCTCTCGACGAAGCTCGGCAGACTCAAGTTGCGCTTGCGCAACCTGATGGGCGTGGCCTGCAACTTAGTTAAGTCGTTGTAGTAGCTCGTCATGCTCTCGTACATGCTCGACAGCGCTCGGACCTTGCCCGAACACATGTTCTTTTTGAAAATGTCGACCAGACTGTTGATTTTCTGGATCTTGCGCTGGATTTCGTTCAGGATTTTGATGTTCTCGAGAGCGAATTGGATGCTCTCGTAGCGTTTGCTCTTGTCGAACTTGTCCTCGGAGCAGAGGTTAACCGAATCGTAGGTTTTCGGCTCCGAGTTGACGTTTAGGTTGACGTCTGAATCTTTCGCTGACTTGTCTAAAGTGTCGTACAACTTGGTCAGGATGTTCGTGTTCGGACTGGTCTCCAGGTCTTTCTCGACGTTTTTCTCTTTGTAGCTTAACTCGATGGTGTTCTCGTCCGTCACGTGACGGTTGTTCAACTTGTTGCTCTTGGAATTGTAGAAGTCTTCCTTCTTTACGTATTCGTACGAAGTTTTCGTTTTTCGGGTCTTTGAGCTATGTCTACGGACGGCTTTCGGGGGTTTGTGACAAATCTTCTCGCTCGTGATCAGACTCTTAGTAAACAAATGACGGTCTAAACTGGACGTTTCTTGCACTTGGTTCGTGTTCTTCTCGAACTTGAGCGTACTCGGGGTGTAGTGTTTGGTACCGCTTTCGAAAATCTCTACATTAAATTCGGGTTTGTTGTTCAAAACGTTACAATATCTACTCTTGTACTGTTTGTTCTTGGTTTCTAAGCTCGGTATGTACATTTCGGTTTCGCTATTCTTCACCGACAGAGGTCTCTTTTCTTCGTTCTTAACATTCTTCGAACGCACCACTTTTTGATCAGACTCGACGAAAAAAGTCACCGGTTTTTTCGCTATGTTCTCAAACCGGAGAAGTTTCTCTTGAAACTCGGCACTAGCGTTAGTTTTTTTGGCTACTACTTCTTCCGTCGTGGGAAAGTCGGTTTGGGTTTGGGACGTCCGCATTTGAGCCTTGCGCGGACTCGGAGGGCCACTACCGAGATTCTTCGGCAGAGACTGTGAGTGAACCACAGAAGAAGGAGCTTGAAGGAAACGTTTCTGAGGAGCGAAAAGAACCTCCAAAGGAGCAGACTTACAGTCTGACTCGTTCGACAAGATACTTTCCATACTGTTGCAGTAGCTTTTAGCTTGCATCGGGTAATCGTCGAGAAAATTGTCATCACTTAATATACTATCCTGACTGGTCTGGATATTCGGGTTCAAATAAAAACTCTCGCTTTTGGGTATCTCCTCAAGACAATCTTCGTTCAAATAGTTGCTTAGTTCGTTGGACGAGACACATCGTCGTGGTGGCACGGAATTTTTGAGCTTTTTGTTACCGACTGAGCGAAAACTGTACTCTTCCAACGAGTCCGAACTAAAATTCCCCTCCTCTTCCTCGTGCTTATCCAACCCTTTCTCAATCTGGTCGTACTTTCTATTAAAATCCTTCGAAAACTTCTCGATGTCGCTACAAATCTGCCTGAAGCCTTCGTTCGCGTCGATCTTCTCAAAGTCCACGAAATAACTAAAGGACTTCCGATTCGACGTTTCCTCTTTCTGCTGTTGGACGAAGTCCGAGAAGCTGCGCTCCTCGCTGACCGGCGACACCGGCAAGCTTTTGTGCAACTTATACTTAACTAGAGTCTTATCCAGTTTGAGCTTCCTCGGCCTGATCAGTTGATCGTTAGCTAATTCTACATTGGCAGCGTGTAAAGAGGCAGTGTTGAGAATGTGTGAAAGCTGTGATGTATTTTTGGCTATGTCTTGCATATAACAGCCGCACAGCTGCAAATCGGTCGGTACCGAACAACTCATCGGTATGAAGTTGGCATCGTCGGGGTTAGTAGAGCGCGGGTTATCGTTCGGGTTTAGTCGCTCACTTTCGTACTGCAAGCATGAACAAACGTCATTACCTTGTTTTTTCGACCATTTGTCGCGTTCCGGGATGTGGGAGAGGTCGTGAATGGACTGGCTGTACTTCAAGGGACTTGTGTGGCCCACCTGGCGAACAAATACGAACATATTTTTTATTTTGGTGATGTGAGTGTAAACATGTTTTAAAAGAGGGTACATAATTTATTTGTAATTTCACCAAAAGGCAAATGTTTAAAGAATAATAAATCGCATTCGACGCCACGGTTTGGTGCAAGATCAGTTTATGAACGATTTTCTAATTTGAAATGTTGTGATAGTTCGATGATTCCGCCGTTTCGTTTCATTGTTTTTACATTCACAGTTCGCATTAGGCTTTTTAATCGTTCATGGTTCTAATTCAACTATACTGTAAATGCAAAACACGAGGCTGAACGCACTTTACTAATGATATATCCAAAGTTCTGGATGATTTTCCCTAAGTTATTATTCACACTTTGACTTTTCGCTCTAGATTTGGAATAGTCCATTTTGGCAGTTATACTGAGATCAAACATTGATCCACTTTGAAAGACAAAACTCAGAAGAGAATCATCAGCCTAATTAATTTCGTGAATTCGAAATGGGAGGGGTGTTCTATGTTTATTTTGTATTACATTTATGTGTTATTTTCTTATATCTTGAATTTGAACATTTTAATCTGAAATATGTAAAACTTTGACTATTCCATCAATACTTGCAGTTCGAGTTTCATTGTATGTTACTTCATAGTTCGGTTAAGATTGAAGACACTTGGGGGCGACTGTATCAAACCATAAAAAAAATCTTTTTTTTTTTTAAACTAATCTGTGGTGTCCGGATTAAAAAAAATAATTTCGCACCACGGAAAAAATATCGCCGCGGAGCCGTAGTTAAAAAATAAAAATAATTCCAATATTGTAGGCAATCACCCATGTGTTAGCGTTTTGGAATGTACGGCAGATCCGATCATGATAACGCAACTTTACCGGTAATACTGTAAGTGTTCATGTAAAACACGACGCTGAACTCATTTTAGTATAATATAATATCTAAAGTTCTGAATGATTTTACTAAAGTTATTAGTCACTCTAGATTTAAAATAGTCCATTTGTGGCAGTTATACTGATCTTAAACATTGATCTATTTTGAGAGGCAGAATTCAGAAAAGAATCTTTAGCTAAATTAATGTCATCGTGGACTGCAAACGGGAGTTTTTTAAATGTTTATTTTGTGTGACCTTTATGTTTTACACGTATAATTAAAAGAAACATATCTGTAGTTCTGGATGATTTTCCCTAAGTTATTTTTTACATTTTATGACTTTTCACTCTAGATTTAAAATAGCCCATTTTTGGCAGTTATACTGATTTCAAACATCGATCCATTTTGAGAGACAGAACTCAGAAGAGATCCATCGGCCTAATTAATTTCGTGGATTCGAATTGGGGGGGAGTTCTATGTTTATTTTGTATTACATTTATGTGTTATTTTCTTATGGCTTGAATTTGAACATTTTAATCTGAAATATGTAAAACTTTGACTATTCCATCAATACTTGCAGTTCTAGTTTCATTGTATGTTACTTCATAGTTCGGTTAAGATTGAAGACACTTGGGGGCGACTGTATCAAACCATAAAAAAATCTTCTTTTTTTTTAAACTAATCTGTGGTGTCCGGATTTAAAAATTTAATTTCGCACCATGGAAAAAAATATCGCCGCGGAACCGTAGTTAAAAAATAAAAATAATTCCAATATTGTAGGCAATCACCCATGTGTTAGCGTTTTGGAATGTCCGGCAGAACCGATCATGATAACGCAACTTTACCGATAATACTGTAAATGTTCATGTAAAACACGACGCTGAACTCATTTTAGTATTGATATATCTAAAGTTCTGGATGATTTTACTAAAGTTATTAGTCACAATTTATAACTTCTCACTTTAGATTTAAAATAGTCCATTTGTGGCAGTTATACTGATCTTAAATATTGATCTATTTTGAGAGGCAGAATTCAGAAAAGAATCTTTAGCTAAATTAATGTCATCGTGGACTGCAAACGGGAGTTTTTTTAATGTTTATTTTGTGTGACATTTATGTTTTACACGTATAAGTAAAAGAAACATATCTGTAGTTCTGGATGATTTTCCCTAAGTTATTTGTTACACTTTATGACTTTTCACTCTAGATTTAAAATAGTCCATTTATGGCAGTTACACTGATCTTAAACATTGCTCCATTTTGAGAGACAGGACTCGGTAGAGAATCATCAGCCAAATTAGTATCGTAGACTCGAAACGAAAGGGTTCTTTATGTTTATTTTGTATTGCATTTATGTTATTTTTTTATATCCTGATTTTTTCTTCAACCTAAATATTTTCTTACAGCCTGAATTTTTTTTTATACAATTGATTAAACAAAAATAAACCGCATTCGATACCACGCTTCCCCTCAACGAGTGTAAATTGTGCAAGATAAGGTTATGAACGACTTTTTAATCTGAAATATGAAATTACAACGATTTCGCCTTTTTGATTTTACTGTTTGTACATTCATAGTTCACGTTAGGATTTTTTTTAACCGATCATAGTTCTAACGCAACTTTATCGATAACACTGAAAATGTTCACGTAAAACACGAGGCTGAACTGATTTTAATAATGATATACCTAAAGTTCTGTATGATTTTCCCTAAGTTCTTATTTACACTTTATGGCTTCTCACTTTAGATTTAAAATAGTCCATTTATGGCAGTAACACTGATTTTAAACATTGATCCACCTTGGGAGGCCAATCTCAGAAAAGAATCATCAGCTAAATTAATTTCACTGTGGACTCGAAACGGAAAGGGTTTTTCATGTTATTTTGCAATACAATTATTTTTTTATGTGTAAAACTTTGACATCAACACTTGTAATTTTTTTCACTGTTTGTTTATCCGCAGTTCATGTTAAGATTATTCTTGGTTCTAATACAATTTATTTTTGTAATGATCTGTTCTGAAGTTTCGGATGTTTTTATTTGAGTTATTACATTATCCACACTTCATAACTTCTCACTCGAGATTTAAAACAGTTCACTATGGCATTTAAAATAACCTTAAACCTTGATCCATTCTGAAAGGACCTTGGAAATTATCATCTGTTAAATTATTTTCTCACAACGTGAATTTGAACATTTATTCTCAAATGATGACCATTTTTAATTTGTAGATTTTGCTATCAACACTTACACTTTCCAGCTTCTTCTTCGTCTCCGCAATGCGCTTATTCAGCATCTGCCTCTTCATAACCGTCTCGGGATCGCTCTTGATCTGCTTCACCGCGTTGATCGCCGCCATATTTATATCCGGACTGCGCGTGAAGAACTTGCTGGAAATGGACGTCTTCCCCGGCGTCAACTCCGTCTCGGCGCCGCTCATGCTCTCGAACGTCGACTGCAGGTACTTCTCCCTGCTGCCCAACTGGTCCAACGATTCGGAACTCACGGAGAACAACGACATCGGATTCCTGTCGGTGTTCTCGCCGCTCGGCGTCGACGCCTCGTCGTCGTCGTCGTCGGAATCCTGACTGCCGTACGTCGACGAGGTCTGCTGGATGAGTATCTGCGGCGCGGTACCTTTCTTTTTTCGTTGCGACTTGCGCAGCTCGTCGGCGTCGATGTTGGTGACCGTGAACTCGCTACCGCTGAACGGGGATGATTAAGAGTGTGAAGAACGAAGAAGAGAAATGGGTTACCTGGCTGAGTCTGCTGGATTGGGGTAATACAGGGGTCTGTGTCGGTACTCGTGATCCGAATCGATGTCTCCGTCGTGTGCGGTCGACTCGAAGCCGGTGTCTGTCATCGTGTCCGACATTGTTTCCCTCCGGTTGTCGCCTCGGGTAATCGTCACGTTATCCATGGTCTGGTGGAAAGTGCGAAAAGTGGACTAAAATAGGATGATTCGTGTTTTGGGGACATACCCTTCTGGAAATCACAACCTCCTTGCGAGTTTCCTCCAATGAACTGTCTTTGGAACCGTCCGAATCGAACCTCCTATCCACGGGTAGCGTCAAAGAGCTATTCGCGTAAAAGTTCTTCATTTCTAAGGGGTTGTCGGCCCTTTGAGCCCATCGTCCTTTCGGGACCGCCACGTTTTTGGTTTGTGGCGGCAAATGACTAGTGTCCTCGTTCAATTGTTTCTTGGCCCATTGAGGCAACTGGCCAATACTAAACCTGAAATACCAGTAGTCGGTTGTGTTTATATTTTTGGCGTGGGGCACTCCCTCCACTCACCTATAATTAGCATCCATCTCACTCGCATCGTACATATCCCTGCTCTCGCTCAAAATATCACTCTCCAATGTCTTCCCCTCCCTCATCGCCTGTTGACTCAGTCGCGCGTGCATCGTTACCACCATATCGTGCGGCACCTTCCACACGAAAACACAGCCGTCGCCGCTAGCCGAAATCAGCCGACGGCAGTCGTTCGTAAACCTCAGTCCCGTCGCCAACTCCGAATGCCCGCACATCGTCGCCATGCACTCCCCCGAGTAATAATCGTACACCGACAGCGACTTATCCGTGCACGACGTCGCCAAGTAAATCCCCGACCTGTCAAGAACCACCTTGATCAAAGTCCCGTCGTCACCCGTACTCCCCTTGAAGCTCTTCGTGTGCTTCCCCGTGTTCACGCTATATATACGCACGTTGCGGTCCTGACAAGCCGTGATCACGTGCTTCTGGCCCGTGTCCACCTGCAACCACAATCCCAATACTCTTCACACTCCCCGACAAACCAAACCCTACGTACCTCCATGTCGTACAGCGTCGTTTTTCCCGTAGCGTTGTGATCGCGCGTGAACTGGGGCTTCCCCCCGAGGTCGCTTAACGACCTGAAAATCAAACTCTTGTCGGCGCCGCACGACACCATCTGGAGGTTCCGATGGTGGCTGAGGAACCTCACGGCCGTGATCGATGACGAGTGGTCGTCCAGGGTCTGCAGGAACTCGTATCCGTGGTTGACGTCGAAAACGTGCAACAGCCGGTCCCTACTGGCGCTGGCCATGAGGTTCAAATTCGAGTTGAAGCCGCAGTACTCGAGGCACAGCACCTCGGCGTCGTGGGCTTCTATTTTGCAGAGCTCCTTCATGGTGGCGGCGTCGTGGATGCGGATGTTGCCCGAGCGGTCGCCCGAGGCCAGGTTCTTCCCGTCCGGACTCACCCGAATGCACCGCACGCCGTTGCGGCCGTCGTACGACGTCTCTTGTTTGTCGGCGTTGCTGGTGGATAGGTCTAGGTCCTTGATGTAGGATAGGTCTTTGTCGACGTAGACGACCTTGAGCAATTCGTTGCTGTAAACGTTGGTGCGGTACATTGCTTTGGAGTTGCGGTCGGTGATTTTGTCGAGGCTCCAGACGCGGATTGTGTCGTCGGAACTGCACGTGAGGAAGCTGCCGGGGGGAAGGGGGCTGTTGGGCGGGGCCATTTCTACGCCCCAGATGCAGGCCGAGTGGTAGAGGAATGAGAAGGATTTGCCTACCTATGGTCAAAATATGCAATGTTTAAACATTTCTATTAACGTTGAGGTTTATGAAATTTGTGGTGACGGAAGGCTCAAGACAAGGATCACTACACAAAATAATTCTGTTTCAAACGGTCAGGTTAGGTCAGATTAGGTCAGGTCAGGTCAGGTCAGGTCAGGTCAGGTCAGGTCAAGTCAGGCCAGGTAAAGTCAGGTTATAACAGGTCGGGTCAGGTCAAGATAAGTCAGGATAGATTAAGTCAGGACTAGTCAGGCTAGATTAGGTCAGGACAGGTCAGGTTAGATGACATCAGGTAGGTCAGGTCAGGTCAGGTAAAGTCAGGTCAGATTACGACAGGACAAGTCATGTTAAATTAGATCACGATAGGTCAGTCAAGTCAGCCACAAACCTTGTTTCAAACAGGGTTTGTAGCTGGGATCGGTCAGGTCATGCCATGTCAGAGTAAGTCAGGTCAGGCAATAAGAAAGCCTAGGCACTGGGAAACTTCCACGAAATTCCAGTTTGGGATTGGCTTTATGTTAAATACTATGAATTCACGAAGATTCTAGATCAACGGGGTACAGATTGAAGAATTTCGACTTTAGGATAATGTCCACGTTGAACACAAAATATCAGTAGTGAGAAGGTTCCAGAAGAATTCTTCCAAACGAGGGCAGAAGAAGGTGATAAGGAAATGAAAGGAAGAAAACAGAGAAAGAGAGTATTGAAAGAAACTTTCAAGACGTTCCCAAACGTTCTGTTGACGAAATAGGAGAAAGTTTTGAACGAGTCCTCTAGGTTTTTCTTTTGTAGTTGGAAACGACAGAATCGGTGAACCGAAGAAAGAAAAAATGCTAAAATTCTCCATTGAGAGAGGACGAAATAGAAGAATTTCGACTTTAATGCGGTACCTAGGCATAAAAAAGAAGTTAAGAAGCGCTAGTTTGAGATGCTCCTAGAATAATGCTATTTAGAAGCGAAATTAATTTTCACTGCGAAGGTTCCAAAATCGAGAAAAACACTAGCCCTGGCAAAATGGAATAGTGAAAACAGGACAAGTATGTTGCGGCGACACAATAATAGCTAGGTATGCGAAGTAAAGATAAGCCGCTCTGTAGCCTAGTGGTCAAGGCACCCGCCCGCAAAGTGGGAGATGTGTGGTTCGATTCCCACCGGGACAGTAAACATTTTTCTTCGCTTACCTACAATGTAAATGTGAAATTTCCTCAAAGTTCTAGAAGATACCAGGAAACGAAAGAGTTATTCTTGAAAAGTTCATTCGAAGAAGAATAGAATAGAGATATAGAAATATTTAGATTTCGATGTAAGATTGGGGAACTTGAAAAAATCTTCCAATCGAGAACAGCAAAAGGTAGTAAGATTTGGCTTCAGAAATAGAATGGAAGTCGAAGAGAGAGGACAGTTGACAAAGAATAAGACATTTTTTAAACATGCCATTCGAGAATATTAGCGTATAACTAAAAACCAACAATTGAAGAAGGGTTTCAGATGAATTTCTAGAATATTTCATATTCAAAGACGGTTCTAAAGTAGAAAAAGAGTGTAAGAAGAAACTTCTACGAGGTTCTCACACATTATGTTAAAGAAATATAGAAAAATCAGTAGAGGTTGTATAGAAGCAATTCGTAGAAGATTCTACTTGAAAAATAGAAGACATAGAAGAGAGAATTTCTACTTTAGTGTAGGATTCAAAAAAGAAAAGCTCACAAATAAGTTCAAAAAGATTTTAGAAGAATCAATAGCACATCAAGACGGAAGAAAGAAGTTCAGCAGTATGAGTTCAAAAAGAGAAGAAGTTGATAAACATCGTAAATTCAAGATTCTAGAAGAATTGTGTGAAAAGAAGAAGAAACGAAAACATTTCCACTTTGGTGTCCTACTCAAGTTGAAATGAAAAATTGAAAAATTAGTTGCTGTCCGGATTCGAAAGACTGGAGAACAACCAGAAAAAGAAGAGCTTTTGGAAGAATAAAAAAATTTCTAAAATTTCCATTTTTATATAGGATTGTGGCACAAAAACAAAGTTAAATATCGTGAATCCAAGAAGATTTTAAGCGAATGCGATACTGAAAGAAGCAGAAATAGAAAATATTCGACTTTAAGACAGTATTGACGTTGAACACAAGACTTTCAATGGCGAAAAGATGCTAGAAGAATTTGTCCAATAGAAGATGTAATAGAATTTACACTTCTGCATTACTCTTTGGTGTCCTATCCAAGTTGAAAAAAGGAATTAAATAACCTGAGAAGTTTTTCTAAAATTTGTTGAAAGGCCGAACAAATGAACACAATCAGTTACTGTGCGGACCCGAAAAACTGAAGAAGAATTAGAGAAAGAAGAGCTTTTGGAAGAATACTATTTGAAGAAAAAAACCTATAGAATTTCCTTTTTTATACAGGATAGTGGTACAAAAAAAAAGTTGAATGTCGTGAATCCAAGAAGATTCTATGCATATGAGATACAAAAAGAAACAGAAATAGAAGAATTTCGACTTTAATGCAGTATTCATGTTGAACACTGAGTTTTAATAGCGAGAATATGCAAGAATTCTTTTGGTAGAAAAATTGAATATCCTGAATTCGACATTCTTAAGAATTTTGGGTTGAAAGAAGAAACAAAAAATCCATTTTGGTGTCCTATTCAGGTTGAAAAGAGAAATTAAAAAACGTGAGTTCAAGAAGATTCCAGATGAATTCTATATTAAAGAGAGAAGAATTAACAAAAATCGGTAAAGGGAATCTGAAGAAGTTGGAGAAGGAGAAAAGAAGCAGAAGAATGGGTTGCTCGTTAAGAACGTAGTTCCTGTTATGAAAAAATACGCAATTTGTAGCTGCAGAAATGGTTAAATTTTTTGTACAAAGAAAAATAAGAAAAAAATATATGCAGTAACATAAATGGTTGACTATAAACATTAAATTATCATTTTACTGGTTATTTTATTTATTGCATCAAATCTTTTCCCTCCTTAATTGTTCATTACTTGCGATCAACGTAAATTTGTCCCAAACAACCTAGACCCTCATTTCACCTCTACGCTTCAACAGACAACTAAACAGACCTAAATTTAATTAAATTTCCTCCGCGCCTAAATTATGAACCAAACCGTCAACCTTGCGTGTCTAAACGTCCACCTCGCCCTCCAATACTCACCCTCTTAATATTATATACGTCCCACACGTAGATGGAATGATCATTATATATACTTGTTAGTTTGTGGTTAGTTTCGTTGTAAGTCAAAGCTACTGTATCAGGGTATTTAGCGTCCGGTGGCGGCGAAGCCATGTGACTGCAATCAAAACAAACCCATCGCATTACGAAGTCACTGAACTCCCATAAAAGTGTCACTCACGTTATACTAGTCCCCATGCTGACGTCCACGCCCAAATAGTGCGTCCGCGGAAGCGTCGTGATGAACCGAAGTGTGGCAGGATCAAAGCATCGAATTATTCCTTCGGCACAACCAACAAAAATATAATTTTCACCTACAGTTATACAATTGGCACTTGTTGTCTGAAATCAGAACGGCGATTGTAGTGGCGCGTAATGGACGAACGACGGTACGCACCCTTAATTCTACCCATTTATCTAAAAGTCTTCTATTGTTGAATTCACACAAGAGCCCCGATCGGGTGATAGCGTAGGTGCTATCGCCGCACTGGGCCTTGCCGCAAGCGACATCACAGAAATAATTATTCCTTTGTTCGCCCAAAATGGCCGAACGTCCCATCAGCGGCACCGCCTCCTTGTACTAAAAAAAAAAGAAAAAATCAGACGATTGTTTTGAGAAGGAATGTATGCGCGGCGTTTCGTAGAATTCTGTTTTCTTCTTCAGGCTACAGTATGCATATATAATTAGTATGAATAAGGCGATAATTATGCACAAAGAGATAAATCACTCATGTCAATGGCAAAGAAAGAAGGTTCCAGAACAGGGCTCCGACAAACACCAATCATTTTGCAAATAAGACTTATTTTCCTTTAGCCCAACATTAAGATATTTTGATTCTAAATAAACAAAAATATTCAAAATATACCGACACTTTAAATCGAAATTATTTTACTCGTATTTAGCTGTTTCACTAAATTGTGGAAATTTTGTCAATTTTTTGTTTGTTATGTATTCATTTAAGCTTTCCAACAACATTAAGTTTCGCGTATATATACGATCTTATTTACCGTTCTGAGAAGTTCAGTTTTTCGAAGACAAAATCAATATTTTAAATCGTCAAGTCTTTATGTAATCACAACAAATTCTAACCATGGGTTATTTACGAAAAATTTTCCATCTTACTTCTTGCTAATTTCAGCGTAGAAATAACCTTAAGCATCGCGTAAATATGCAATTTCTTGAAACATCTTACTGAAAAAGATGGGTTTTGAAAAATAATTGCAATATTTTTCATGTTCAAGAATGGTAACGTGGAATATTTTTTATGTAGTCACAACAGACCGTCATTAACTTGGCTTTTTATGGACAATTAGTCATCGTAATGTTTTGTTCCTTTCAGCGTAGAAACAACCTTAAGCATAGCGTAAATATGCGATCTCTTTTAACGTCATATTGAAAATTTTAGTGTTTGAACAATAATTGAAATTTTAAACAATAATTTAAATGTTTAAATTTTCGAAAATAGCACAATGAAATGATGTTTTATGTAGACACAACCACCTTAAGTATCGAGTAAATACGCAATCTCTTTTAACATCATACTGAAGAATTTAATCTTCGAAAAATAATTGCAATATTTTTATTTTTGAAAATGGCATAACGAAATATTTTTTTCTGTAGTTACAACGAACTTTCATTAACATGGATTTTTATAGAATTTTACCATCGTTATTTCTGATTCATTTCGACGTAGAAACAACCTTAAACGTCAATCTCATTTAATAACTTTTTGACAAATAATACCAATGTTTTTAATTTTCGAAAATAAGTAGTACAATGGAATGAGGAATATGTGGAATTTTGTCGTGTTTCTTTATGTATATTTCAAAGTACAAATAACTTTAAGCATTCGAATATATGGAAATATCTTGGCACATCATATTAAAAAAATAGTTTTTGAAAAATAATTGTAAATTTTTTTATTTTTGAAAATGGAAAAATGAAATATTTTTATTTAGTCTCAACAATCCAACATTACAATCGTTACCTTGGCTTTCTAAAGAAATTTTGTTGTATTTCTTGCTCAGTTCAGCGTAGAAACACCCTTTGTTCCGGTTCGAAGTTTGTTTAATATTTTGTTTTGATTTTGTTTGTTATCCCGCGGATTGCTGACAAGTGTATTTTGGTCACTTTCCACTAGAGGCGCCATAGTACCGAGCAAAAGGGCCCGGTACTTGGGGTTGGCGCTGTTATCGAACAGAGTTATCGAGAAACCCTCAGAGAGGTAACATCGCTAAGGTGGGCGTTAAGTGAACGCAGTTGCCATCTTGTGTGACGTCAATCGCGAATTGTTGTCGCGAGACTTAGACACGTGGTTCCTTTGTGCATGCGGTCTACAAACCCCCAACCCAGGAGGCTGAACAAAACAAGGTAGGTGACCTTTTGATGCGTTTGTCAGCTTCGATCCAGATTTTAATATAATTTTTTTGGAATTGTAAAATCGCCGCGAAAAAAGGGTGTTTTCAAAGCCTTTACGTCCAACACCCTTAAACATCGATTTCATTCAATTATTTAAAGGAATGCCTACAATTTTCGAAAACAATACAATTTAATACAAAATTCAGTCTTTGAAAAATAATTGCAACATTTTTCATGTTTGAAAATGGGAGGACGAAATATTTTTTTCTATAATTACAACAAACTCTCATTAGCATGGATTTTTATGGAATTTTGTCATCGTTATTTGTTATTCATTTCACGGTAGAAACAAATTAAATATTTATCTCATTTAATAACTCACCCAAAATTCCAGTTTTTGACTAATTATAGCAACGTTTTTCATTTTTGAAAATAATGAAATGATGACTTATGGGACCACAATAAACAATCATGACCATGGATTGATTCTTAAGGGAATTTTATCTTGGCTTTTTCTGTTTATTTCAGAATAGAAATAACCTTAAGGATTTGGAAATACGAAAATATCTTGGAACGCCGGACTGAAAAATTTAGTCTGTGAAAAATAATTGCAAAATTTTTTATATTTGAAAATGATAAAATTGAATATTTTTATTTAGTCACAACAATCGAGCATTACCATGGCTTTTTAAAGAAATTTTGCTATAAGTATTTCTTGTTCAGTACAGCGTAGAAACACCCTTAAACGTCGATCTTATTCAATACCCTAAAGAAAATTACAGTCTTGGAATAAAAGTATCTAAAGTAATGTCTACAATTTTCGAAAACAGTACAATTTAGTACAAAATTTAGTCTTTGAAAAATAACAGCAATATTTTTGATTTTTGAAAATGGCAAGACGAAATATTTTTTTCTATAGCTACAAGCTTTCATTAGCATGGATTTTTATGGAATTTTGCCATCATTATTTCATATTCGTTTCACCGTAGAAACAACTTAAATATTTATCTCATTTAATAACTCGCCGAAAATTCCAGTTTTTGACTAATTCTAGCAACGTTTTTAATTTTTGAAAATAGTGAAATGATGACTTATGGGACCACAATAAACAATCATGACCATGGATTGATTCTTAAGGGAATTTTATCATGGCTTTTTCTGTTTATTTCAGAATAGAAATAACCTTAAGGATTTGGAAATACGAAAATATCTTGGAACGCCGGACTGAAAAATTTTGTCTGTGAAAAATAATTGCAAAATTTTTTATTTTGAAAATGATAAAATTGAATATTTTTATTTAGTCACAACAATCGAGCTTATCTTGAAAGTCTCCGAAAAATAATTTCAATATTTCTTATTTATGAAAATCGTAAGATGGAATATTTGTTTGTTATTTTTTAATTCACTTCGGCGTGAAAACAACCTTAAGCATACGGTAGTCTTTGTCTTTAATTTTCAAAAATTGTATTCTTGACTTTTTTTCAGAAAAATCCAAATATAAAAAAAAAACTTGCTTTTTTGTGAACAATCATAATCTATAAACTATATAGGATGTTCCATTAAAAAAAAAAACTTTAAATTAAGTCCTTTGTGTATTTGAAAATAATCCTAAACCAGTTTCATTAGAGGGCATTAAAGAATTCAGTGGTCCTCGATAAATAAGTAAGGAATAATAAGACTGTTGGCACACCCTATATAAAAATAATATAAATAATTCTTTATGTTGTAAACAATTGTACCTAACTAAGGCCTTGGATACCAACAATTACTGCGACTATTTTATTATCAATTAATCATAGTATGAAGTTAATTATTTCAATGTAAATTAGCAATTATGTCTAAAATTTTTTTGAATGACAAATTAGTAATTCAGATATCGCAGTTGCTTTATTCCATCAAGTTATAGTCACCTTCAACAAGTGTTCCGATATACCTAAGAAGAAAATTTTTATAAAATCTTCAATGATTTACAGTTGTTATAAAATAAGTATTCCTGTGACAATTAAACCTAAACGACGCGCTAGAAGCACCGTGTGTGTAGTCATGGACCACCTTTTCATTTTTTTAACCTCAGTGATACGAGGTAAGCAATAGTCTTTGCGTTCGACGCCACAAGGTTAATTCTGCATATAAACGACCTTGGTAGACGTCCGACGAGAAATAAATTACTTATTCAGTCATTTTTGGCATTACGGATGACGTGAATGATCGAATTAAGTGTTTTTTTTTAATTCGCTCGTTTCTTTCATATCTATTCATCATAATCATCGTTATGATAATAATAATATATCATCAGCCGACGTAAATTACAAACACCGTAATCTTAATTTTTTGTTTATACATCATCTACTAACAAAGGTAGTCGCATATTTCGACGAATTGTTGAACATCAAGCCTGTTGGTGTTAGCAGTTAACTCGCTGGCGCCCAAGATCACACTAAATCGGTTCATTTTTAATTACAATGCTTTCATTCCTTTACAGGTATGATTCTCAGGTCATTACTTCTTGAAGATTTCGAATTCTTCGCTTCCTTATATGGGTTTCGAACGACAAACTTAGCACAATCTCGACTTGTCATCAGGAAAGGTGACAAAACTGTTGCTTCACCAACAGGTCTACCTTCCATCAGACCCCATATGTCAATGTGCTATATATCACTTTCCCCGTTTTCATTATCATTTCTCTTTGGAATGAATCCTTCTCTAAAGGTCGTTGTTTATTTTTATTTAAATTAGACACACACGATGTCAAAGTTTCAATAAAATTATAGTGTGATTTTATAACACCGAGGAACAAAAGCCTGAAGAAGAAACTCCCGAAAACCCACTCACCTTCGACTTCCCATACTCCAAATACCAGAACTTCACGTGCCGGTTCCCTACCGTCACGAAATAGCTCCCGTTATCCGCGAACGCCACCGATTTCACTTTCGTGCTAACTTTATTGCTAGCCACCTTGATGTTGTTCTTCCAGTCCCAGACGTTCACGATCATGTCGTGCTGGGTGCCTACGCTCACCACGTACTTGCCGGAAGGCGAGAAGGCGACGCAGTTCACGCCGTACTTGTGACCGGCGAATTCGGCCACCTGTTGTGGCTGGGGCGCCAGGCCAGGATGGCCCGGAGTCGGGTCCGAGTACAGGTCCCATACTCGTACTGCGGGTTGGTGGCCGCATTCGCCTGCGAGCGAAACCAACATTAATCGAGCTCGTCGGCGCGTCTTTGACAAATGCTCACCTGTCACTACGTAACGTCCGCACGAGGAGAAGGCCAGCGACGTGATGGTCTTGCGGGAGGTGTTGATTATGTGATGCTGTTGCTCGGTTTTGGTGTTGAATAGAACGACCGTGCATCTGAAATTAAACAATGGACAAAATGTAGGCAATCACATATTTTAGCTATATTTTTTGGGCTTAAGGGTGAAATACACAGTCGTCACTCGTGCAAGACTCATCCTAATCTAATCCAACTCACTCGGTTCGATTTAAAAATATGAGATACATATATCGCTTAAAAATGTATTCCGAATTAATAAACTTGAGTCCGGGGGATCTCCATATTTATATTCCTGTCTACTGTGCAGTTTTTATTAAACAAAATTATAAACTTATAAACTAAAAAAAATCCGCAAATCAGGTAAACAACTCCAGAACCGGTATTCTACAATTAAATCGGAGAACCACTATTTTAGTAGCGTTGTTGTGGTACCGAATACAAGTCTTTGGTCGACTTCGGTTCCCGTTGCAGTTGCTGTTCCCGCTGACGTTGCTTTTAGAGTTGAAAATTGTCATTTATAAACTTCGTTGCCAAGTCGTCGTCGATAGTAACTTTGATGTCCAGTTCTTGGCGTATTTAAAGGGGTTGTAGAAAAAACATTTTAGACAAGTTTCTTGTTGTCGAAATAAGTCTACACATATTAAGAAAAAAGAAAAAGGCAAAATGGAGCCCCGCCCGCCCACCCACCCTATCTCAATTGTAATATTTTTTTTTATTCGTCGTGAGCCAAGACGGCGGAGCTTAACAAGCGGAGCAAAATCCTTATTTCTCTAAGAGAAATTAAAAACAAGTTTTTGAGTTTCGTGTTGCCAATAAAGCCAAAGATTATAACCCACCCACACCCACCCCGATCTCAATTCTCAATTGTGATGACTTTTTCATTATTTTTTTTACAAGAATTTACCATTTTAAGCATGTTTTAAGTTTCCTGTCCCGAAAAGACGACTACGTAGGTAATATTAAGCAAAAAAAGGCAAAAAAGATCAGCACCGCCCACCCGCCCTATCTCAATTGTGATGATTTTTTTTAATCATTGAGAGACAAAGGAGCGGAGCTTAACTGCAAAATTCTGATTATTTCTCTACAAGAAATTACCATGTAAGACATGTTTTTGCGTATTGTGTTATTCAAAGAGTATATTAAGAAAAAAATAAAGGCAAACATTAAGCCCCACCGACAGCTGCCTTGATCTAAATAGTAATGAAGTTTTCATTCGTTGGCAGACCTAGGGGCGGAGCCTAATTGCAAGATCCATATTTCCTAAAAAAAATTACCATTTTAAACGTGTTTTAAATTTCTAAGAATAAAAAATCATCATAATTCAGATGGGGTGGATGGGCGATGTTTACATTTTACCTCCTTTCTTAATATACATAGTATTGGTTCACGGCGAATAAAAAAAAATCATCACAATTGAAATAGGGTGGGTGGGCGGGCTTACATTTTGCCTTTTTGTTTTAATATAATGTGTAGACTTCTTTTCACAACATGAAACTTAAAACATGTTTAAAATGGACAATTTGTATAAGGAAATATCGATTTTGCAGTTAGCCTCCGCCCAATAATTGCCAAATCCATAATTCCTTGCAAAAACGTACAATTTTTTCCGTGTTTTAAGTTTCTTGTTCTGAAAAGATCGCTTTGTATATTAAGAAAAAAAAAAGCAAAATATAAGTCCCGCCCACCCGCCCTATCTCAAATGTGATTACTTTTTGTGTAATCGTCGAAAGGCAAAGGAGCGGAATTTAAATGCAAAATTCTTAGTACTTCTCTCTCTACAAGAAATTACCATATAAGACATTTTTTGATCGTCGTGTTATTCACGTCCCACACATAGCTGCCTTGATCTAAATAGTAATGAAGTTTTCATTCGTTGGCATACCTAGGGGCGGAGCCTAATTGCAAAATACATATTTCCTGACAAAAATTTACGATTTTAAAGGTACTTTAAGTTAAAAAAAAAATCATCACAATTGAAATTGGGTGGGTGGGGTTTATATTTTCTCTTTTTTTCTTAATATACATAGTATTATTTGTTGCAAAAAGGTACGATTTTAACCACGTTTTAAGTTTCTTGTTGTGAAAAGATGGCTGTGTATGTATATGTATCTCAATTCTGTTGATTTTTTTTATTCGTCATAAACCGAGGGGTGGAGCTTAATTGTAAAATTCTGCTACGTTTTGAGGTTTTTGTAACTAGAATTTATTTGCTAATCTCTAAAAATTAGGCAACGTCATTCTAAAGTTCGGCAAATATCACTTGTTGGGTTTACATTGGATGTTAAAAAATAATGAATATATAAATCGATTTATCGAGAATAGTTCTGTTTAAATATTTGTGTGGTTTGTTTCTCATGTTATATTTTGCCGCAACAAGAGAATCATCTACGTTTTTATATATTGGTACGATGAGCGACTAAAACTCAACAATTTATTTCTTAATAACTCGAATTACACGACTTACTATTATGTACAAAATAACTTCGCAACTTAAATGCATTCGCTCACTCGACTTCTTAGCTGAATGAATCATTCCCGAAAGTGACGTCTATTTAAATCCTTATTTCGACGATCGAGCTCTTTCTCGAATTGGGCATTCGCGACTTCCGCTTCCAGGCTTTTCGAGCGCCGCTTCGAGACTTTTTCCAGGCCCGTCGCGACATCCGCTTGCAACCGCGCGGTCGATGAGTCAGACTACATACGAGAAGAAACGCGTATATACTAGAAGACCCATAGGCATAGTACCGGGGCGGCGTATGGGTTTATTTCGTAACAATATTATTTATTTCATAATTACTGTTAGTGTCCATTTGCGTCAACTTTTTAAATCAACAGGGTATTGTGTTTGTAATTTTTTACGAGAATTCCAAATACGAGATCGAATATGCTGGGTACATATGTTTTATAGTATAGTTGCCTCAATCTGACTCCGTTTTTATGGCATTGCAATCTCAATTACCGCAAGTATTAGGAACTCTATTGAAAATGTAAATATCACTGTTTTACTAGATGAATTCCTCGCAAACTAAGAAAAATGCATTTGATGGTTTCATTGTTTTTATATTCAAAGGACGTTTTAAAACACTATTTAATGTACTGAAAAATTATACCCTTTTGTATTAAAAGAAAAGAAAATTGATGTCATTTCCGGCGAAATTGAATACGCCGCCAGTAATGTATCCATTTAATAGCCTGTGTTACATATATTGAACATGCCAAATTTCAGTTTTTTATGTTTTAAAAATTAATTAAGATATTTGAGTGGAACGGATATACTGGAACACCCGGTATACATAATATAATAAAAATAAATATGTAGGCGAGATTGGGCGCAACAAGTACTTTGGAACGTTCTAAAGGTTGTAGCCGTTCTGGTTGGTGAGAAGAAACTCATGCTCATTTTTAAATGAGACCAGGGGAGAGCGAGGCTCGATGATATTTACGACTTACATTCACTAGCTTAAAATGAACGTGGTTGTGTATTTAGAGCGCAAATTAATACTTTACTAGCAAAGATAGTTATTTTGATTTTTTTTGGAAAGTATTCTTTGAAACATCGAGATTAAATACTTTGCCATTAATTACAACTGAGTACAATTAACGCTTAATTAATTAATTAATTAATTAATTTCTAATTAGAAATCTTAATTAATTAAAAACACTACAAAGTAAATGATAATTAAGATAATTAATTCGTATTCATGTGAATAATTATAAGTTGCAGGAATTCGAATTAACTACTTACAATTTGCTTGAAAAATTTTAGAAAATCTCTACTAAGCATTCCAATGTATAAATAAAAGTTGCTTTAGTTGTTAACGAATTAAATTGTTTTATTTTGAAGATTCTTTCAGGTTATTTTGAATTTGCAATTGAATTATTGTCACTGGAACAATGTGTTAATTTCGGCAAAAAAACTCAAAGACAGGAAATGTCTAAAACCATTGACCCGTGGTTGATAAACAACTCTTTGACATTCATGTGAAAAATTATGGTTTTAAATTACAATTATCTGTACAGAAGCTGAAAAAACATTGAAGAGCATTTAAACCTAAGATAAATACAATAAACTAAATATAGACAATTCATAACCACCTTATCTGCATTATCTTCATGTAGACTGAGTGCACCCGTTGTATTAATAAAATTTCTACTGAATAATGTGCACGTCAATGTTGTAGTTGTATTTATACCGTGCGATTTTTTGTCAAGTTTTGCTGCCCATTGAAAACAGGAAATTGATTATTGTCATATTCAATTTCATCTATCAATATGCTGTTTTTAATGATTTTTTTTTGGCCAGTGTATTCTTTATTTTTAAATTATCCACCTCGATCACCTGATTTGACACCTGTAGATATTTCTTATTCCCGACTTTGAAAAACACTGCTTTTAAATAATCAATGGATACAGTTGAAGACCAAAAAGTGAGGATCATACATATGAGTGTGAGTGTTTCGCCGGAAGTTCTTACTCCATTTAAGAATATGAAACGCCAAGTCAATTTATGTATCATAGCTGGGGGTCAACACTTTCAGCAGTTGTTGTAAATTCAATTAAGCATGTTACTTATCATATATAAATCATTTTAAATCCAACCAGGATTTAATTCGTGTTGACATAACATAACCTAACTTTCTAAGTTCAGCCACAGACAACCCTTATTCAGGTTATGTTGTCAATAATACTTTGCTGAACAAAGTGAATTAGGCGCTAAATTCATTAAAATTTTATAATTTTTTAAAATTAAAAACTGTGTCGAGTTACGACTTGTTCTCGGGTAACTATATGAAAATTTAGTTATACTATAATATTTCTAACTGGTACAATTATCTCCAATTAATTAATCAATTCGTATTTCATTATAGTTAATTCCTTGTTTGGAGTTAGCTATTAGTAACTAAATTCAATTAATCAACTGATTAGTGATTGGTTATTATGTAATTACGATTTATGCACTAATTGTATTTAATTACAGTTGAGTACAATTAATAACTAATATTAATTAATTAACAAAGCGCTGTGATGTTACCGTTAGATCTCCGATTACAAATAAACCTAAATCTACCTCTCCTCT